GGCCCCTCCATTGGTACGTGCCCTCTACACAGGTGCCGTAGTAAAACTCTCAGGAACTTTCCTAGGCCCTCACGGTTCCCATATCACACACTTTTGCCCCTTTTTAGATCTGGTGCTGCCAGTAAGTGTAGTACTGAGTAGACCGGATGGCTGGACTTTAATATGCATACTCGACGTCAGATTCAGTACCTCGTCCTTCGTTGTTGTATTCCATCCATCTGCCATCGCCTGTTGCTTCGGCATGCTACTGGCGCTGCTACTGGCGCTGCTTCTGTCAACTGACTGCATAAGCCAGCTGGTAATACCAACACTTTGGCAACTTAGCAGGGCGTTCAAGAGCTTCCCAGAAAATCCTGGCCTGCTAAATACTCATGTTTGCTGGTAACTCCAACGCGTGACCACCGCATCGTTCTGCCTGTGCGTGGCCTCTCTTGTCATTCATCTCGCCGTGTCTTAGCGATTGCCGCCCACGCCGACTTCGACGTCGGGTTCTTCGGAGTTACGACGTCCCCTCGTCAGCCCGACGTCGTCTCCAAAGAACGTCTCCGCCGTCCTTGTCCGCCGAGTTCCGACGCCATCATTTGGCAACTCAACTACATCAGCATATCTGTTGATGCCTTGATGCTTGTTAGTAAAAAAAATCTCTTTCTGGAACACTAAAAAAAACTGGGTAACAAAACCAAAGGCAACTCAACTGCGGTCACATTGATCAGATCTCCAAGCTCTGAAATCTCGCCTCTCACAGAACACTCCCCGGCCGTACTGATTCTGCCAATACTTCTAGGCTTCATACGAATATCAATTTACGTCCAGTAATTTCTACCTGAATGTCCAAAGCCAACGCCAGGTTCCTGTTGCAGCAGCATTCTTTCCCGGCACTCCTTAAGACATCGTGTGACCAAGCAATCCATGCACCTCACACAAGCTTGTACACCAGAACGCCACCAACTTGATATCCTTTCTTCGGGCAGTAGTCTATCCTTGCTGCACCTCAAAGTGCTCCACTTTGGCGATCTGTGCGGTGTGCCTGTTGAAATTGATAAATCAATCCCAAGACCCCAGCGTCTTGCCCCCCAGTCTCCGTACTCGTGCTATTCTCCCGACTCAACCCTTTCGGAGGCGATGTTTCCCAAACCGATTCCCCTAGGGGCCCAGCTCCCTCAAAACCTTCGTCCTCGAATTGTACTTGCGAATCCAATTGCTCGCCCATCGTAAGGCTATCTTCCGTCGTCTCCTCGATGATTTCTCCGCCCTGATATCCACCCCGACTCCCTCGGCTCCGATGAGTGCTTCGGGCGCCGAACCCCGCCGAAGCCGGTTGGTGGTGTGGGTCAAGAAGCATCGATGCCATCGGCGACGGGGCTGTCAATGAAGGCCCAAATCTTGGCGTCCGGTTTTGTTGCCCCATACCACCTCCGGGTGCTCTGCTTCTTGTGAGATCGTAACGTCCCACTCTGGAGCTTTGCATTTCGGCCGCTAAAGTGGGCGATTGAAGTCCAGGGAAGGCCGGCGGCGGGTGGAATGGATGTCGACTTCCAGGCGGGATGTGACCAGGAATGCCCGTCTTTGGATTGATCACATAATTATCTAGAAATCCGTAGTAGGACGCCGCCATTTTTCCATGCTTGGTTGAGTAGTAGTCGTCACGTACATCTCCGGTTGCCACCTGGAACTTGGCCCTTTCCGCGCCCTTCTTGAAGTCGAAGACGGCAAACGAGCAGACGTAGCCGACGCCGTCCACATGTATCGTGAACTCTCGGAAGAAGTCGATGATTTGGTCGCTACACTTGGGTGCCGAGAAGATGAGAACCAGAGACGCCGTGAGTATGCCAACAATCTCCTCGACCAATATCAATACCTTGAGCTTGTAAAGCTCTGAAAACTCTCTCTTAACTTCCGCGGTATGGAGTCGAGCTTCCCAGTGAGCGGGCATGTAGTGTATGAAGCTGATGACGTTGCGCAAGGCGTACTCAGGGTTGAAAACGGTGGTTTCCTCAGAGATCATGCCTCTCGCGGCCGCCCAGGCTGCAGCGAACACTCCAATGTAGAAGAGTGCCGACTTCCCGAACAGTAGTTCAAAGCCCAAAAAGTGTTCGGGCTCTAAGAATGATGCAATGGCTAGAACGGATGTGATCGCACCAGCGATAAAGGTTACCGATCTAGCAAACTGCTCCGTCAATCTCTTCGGGAACTGGTCAATATACGCATGAGCGGCCGGATACGACATGTTGAGCCGTTCCTGAAACAAGTGTGGAAGTTCATTGAATTCCCTGAACTTCCATTCGGCAAGCGGTGTGTATCTCCTGTGACTAAAAGTCCCTGGGTCTTTTTGGTATTCCTGGAGGGGTTTTGATCAGCAACTTTCTCAGATCGGGATTACGTAGCTTACGTTGTAGTACGTCAAAGCATGTACGATAATGAGATATGCAACCACGAATGGTCCTATCAGCAAATTGATGAAGCCGGCGAACATAAGTCTAGTCTTCAACATTGCGCTTAGCTGCCCTCGGCGATCTGCTTTGAGAAACTCCTGGTTGACCTGATTACTCTCGTCGAAGATAAAACCCAAAATGCTGAAATGTAGGTTCCATTCTAGACTTCTCGAGAAGAACTGATGCTTTCCCATGAACGGAATGGGAAGCGTCAAGTCAAGCACGTCCTTGTTCATCATGGCTATCAAGTAGTTTTCTCTCCGCATTAGTCGATTCGCAATGTCGTGGGCGTCAAGCCGCTCTTTGGATTGGTTCCGTATCCAGCGCCGCTGTGAAGGGGTGATATTTATTGCAGTCTTGGGATTCGCATCTCTCAATGACATAACACGCGAGACGATGTCTTGCCAAGAAACCGTCTGCATATCTTCCTCGGGTATCTCGAGCAGATAGGTGTAAAAGTTGCGCATATTGCGCAGTCTCCGGAGATCGACTGTAAATTGGACGGCTTTCCAAATGAAGTAGAAGACATAGAGCCAAAGACCAAAATTCCAAAGGAATGACATTTTCCTAGTGCATTGCGGAATCACGATTTCGCTTAGCGACTTTCTACTTCGGTCGGAGAGAAGTGAATAGTCAACACATTGTGACATGAAGGTAAGGAACACCGCGAAGAAAGCAGACTCCCTACAGGACTGTTAGTATTCGATCCCACTACGATTTGGTTTGCATGATAAATTGAATACTCACAAAAGGTGCAATGCTCGAGCACACACGATGCACCAGAAGCCGCTGCCTCGGTAGTAGGAATAAACGTCTTGTATGAAGAAGTCAAGGTTCGAAACGTTGACCCAGCGCCAGAGGGCCTTTTCCTTCTCATTGCCCGGCGAGAAACCTCGCGCGATGCGCCTGGGTTGCGATTTGAAGGGTTTGACGCTATCTGCCGGATGCAGCCTCTGTTGGGCTTGAGCCGCCTCCCACTGGCCATGAGTTCGTCGATCGGACGGACCAGGTATGGCTGGCTGCTGTGTTGAGGCTACGGGCTGTTTTCTGCGGTTCAATTCTTTTGCGCCCGCCTCCACCTCGTGCGGTTCGACGAGCAGAGAAGCGGGAACATCGTTGTCTCCATCTTCTTCATGACCTAGCCATGCCGGTCCTGTGTCGCGTCGAGCTCCGGTTCGCTGTGAGCCTCGCGTGACGGTTTGTTGGGGGCTTCTGACGAGGTTGGCGTTGCTGTCGAGAGTTGTGCGGCTGTCGTCGACGGAAAGATCCCGTGCGTGATCAAGGTCATAGTCCTGGAATTGTTCCTTCAAATTCTCCTCGTCGACATCGAGTCCGGCCTGGTCTTCGATGTCAAGATCATCGTCACCTCTGCCTCTCAACTCCTCGTAAAATGATCTGGATCCTCTTGCGGGAGGACCCAGCCGGGAGAAGATGTTGGAAGCCATGCTGACTGTGTGGTGCAACAAGAATTTCGAAGTGTTACTGACGGTATGCACTCGTTACGCATGTCGACTGATGCATGTTTTGGAGAAGGTGGCTTGAATACAGAGTTGGGATCGACTTTTGAGAATAGGAGGATCGGTCTTCCAGTGCTGTTAGAAATGAGTTAGCTACAGTTAGCTACAAAGACGTTTAAGATAAGCTGGCTGAAGGACATATGTCTGTCGTTTAATAATAGTCATGTGTTCGGGTACGACGCGCGCAGGTGACCGAGGTGCTCGCGGAAGATGGGAATGAATACCTTCTGGGATAGATCTTTAACTTATCCGAAGTCGCCTCTTTTGGGGTTGCTGGTGTTTGTGTTTGTGGCTAATGCTGAGGTGACATGTGCAGATGGTACCTCCAAGTTCGATAGAGGCATCACGAGACGAATGTAATAGCAAGCTAAGTAGTTGACTGCAAGATTCGGATGTGCGAGGCGTGACCAACTGATGCTCGAAAGGTGTCTGGGATCAGGTGCGTGCCTACCTGGTACCTAGTTACCTACCTACCTACCAACCCTTACCGTTTACCTTATCGGATAAGATAGGAGACTACAGAGCACAGTCCATGACTTTATGACGTGGGCGTTTTGGGGGTGGGTCGGCAGGGCGGTGAGTAGTGGTATTGCCGTACTTATTCCAGGCCGCCTTCCTTCCATTTCATCCAATGCCTGTTTCATCCCTAACTTACCCTAGGTAGGCGTGGGCGGGGTGAAGGAAAGTCATTGCAGTACCTTTGCCAGTCCTAATACCAAGGTACCTAGGTGCCTTAGGTCTCCACACAGTGCTTGCCTACCTAGTGTAGGTAGGTATACTCGCTCTCACAGCTGTGTGCACCCAAGCCATCTGTAACATCCGTTCGTCTCCCTACTAAATCTCCCTTGTTCGTTGCTTACCCACCTGAGCTTGATACCTTGGCAGTGGGAATAAACGACAGTGCCAGAAAACGCGCCAACCTACAGCCTCTACTCTTGACAAGTCGGCGACGTAGCACATCGTACGAACCGCAACTCGGCTTGCAGCCTTTTCCTCATCTCCTGGTCAATGGCAGATTGATGAGTCGGTCCTACAACTTCCTCCCCGGAACATGGCGTCGGCAAAAGCTCCAGTGTCCTTGAGACCGCTACCCGTGCGAGATGTGTCCAATTCGTCCAGTTCGGCCACTTCGTCTCAACCTCCTCCCCCAACGCCCACATCGCTCAGAAATCATAACCCCCTCACCTCCAAAGTCACGACGGTTCTGTCAACCTCATACGCCGACTCAGAATTTCGGGACGCTCTACAGCTTCTCGACGGCAGGGGCCTGAAGAACACTCCCGAAACACGTCGGCAGTTACGCCTGGAGCTGCAGAAAGAGGTTATTGACAGTAACGGTGAAATCGTATTTCAATTTGGTCGCGTGGCAGACGTAAGTTTTCTTGACCCGTTAGACTTGCCTAGCCCGTTCCTCTGACCAATCTTTCTAGCAACTTCGCCGCATAGGAGCTACCCTGGACAAGCTCAACAACAACTACCAGCATGTGAGAAGTCGCATCACCGCCGCGCACCAGATTACAGACCCTATCTTAACAGAAGCCTCTTCCTTGATTCATCAGCGGGCTGAGGTTGACTCAAAACAACACATACTCAAGACTCTGCGTAGCCACTTCATGCTTTCCGACCATGAGGTTGCCTCCCTAACGTCGACTGCCGAACCTGTAGATGACAGCTTCTTCACCGCTCTCACCAAGGCAAAACGCATTAGCAAGGACTGTGAGATCTTGCTCGGCTTTGAGAAGCAAACGCTTGGTCTGGAGATCATGGACCAGACATCCAAGAATCTCAATCTCGCGTTTCAAAAACTGTACAAATGGGTGCAGCGTGAATTTAAAACGCTCAATCTCGAAAACCCTCAGATGAACTCATCTATTCGCCGCGCTATTCGAGTCCTGGCAGAACGACCCTCGCTATTCCAGAATTGTCTAGACTTCTTTGCCGAAGCTAGAGAGCGCATTCTCTCTGACTCTTTCAACTTAGCACTGACGGGTACGACGGATTCGGGCGTAGAAGACCATTCTGTGAAGCCCATCGAAATGGCCGCCCACGATCCCCTGCGTTATGTTGGCGACATGCTTGCTTGGATACACTCAGCGACAGTGAGCGAGCGAGAAGCACTCGAGATCCTGTTCGTATCAGAAGGTGACGAGATTGCCAAGGGGCTGCAGTCAGGTCGGGCGAACGAGTTGTGGCAGCTTCTGGATGATGGAGAAGGGGACGCGGCTGGTGATTACGACGCTCTGAAAGCGCTAAATGATCTCGTAGACCGAGACGTGTCCGGGGCGACTCGGATTCTGCGCCAGAGGGTTGAGCAGGTCATTCAGTCAAACGAGGAGACCATCTTGGCTTACAAGCTCGCAAACATTCTCGGTTTCTACCGCTTCACCTTCACGAAGTTGCTGGGCAGCCAGTGTGGCCTGCTGGATCTCATGTCTGGTCTTGAAGCAGGGGCACTCAGACAGTTCAGGTCACTTATGCGAGACCATATTGCAACGCTGCAGGGTGACTTTCAACAAACGCCTTCTGATCTTGGGCCGCCGGACTTCTTGCTCGACGCGTTGAAACAGCTAACTGCTGTTATGAAGACATATGAGATCTCCCTAGCGACTTCTTCGGACCGTGAGAGTGACTTCCAGCCAATTCTCTCGGAGGCCTTTGAGCCGTTCTTGTCTGGGTGTGAAAACATGGCCCGGGGTGTTGGCTCTCCAGCAGACGCGATATTCTTGACTAACTGCTTGCTTGCAGCCAAGCAGACGTTGGAGCCATTTGATTTCACCCAGAGAAGGGCGCAGCAGTTGCAAGAGGGAATCGAGCGAGAGAGCGAGAAGCTCGCAGATGGGCAATACCAGTTTTTCAGGCGCGGTTCAGGGCTTGAAAAGATACTCGACGCCTTGGGTAAGTTGACAACAGAAAGCAGCGATGTTGGGAAGGCGGCATCACTCGAAGTGTTGCAGCCAGAAGCCATGAGCAGAGCCAGCCAGATTCTTGACGACTTCCTACCGTCGGCATTGATGGATGCTGTGGAGAACGTGAAGCACCTGCAAGACTCGGTTCTCGCAAGGGGACTCACGGAAAAAGCAGCTGCGAGGTTTTGCGACGACTTTGAGCATATTGAGCAGATGCTGCTTTTGGTGGACGAGATGGCCGGCAGAGATGAGGATGCTGATGAAAAGCTTGATGAACATGTTTCATTGCGCGCCCTGTTTCCCAGAACAACGGGGGAGATTAGGGTGCTGCTGTCATGAGGACTTTCGCTTCATGATAGGTAATGTTAAAAAGCATACAAAGCATACCTACCTTGGTAGTCAACTCTTAGCAGCCTATAGCGTCTAGCGTGTGTACTTGCAGCTGCTGTTTGCAGCAGAGATGTCCCGACCCCTGTGAGGAAGGTGCCTAAAGTCACCACAGTACGTGGCTCGGGTACCTAGTACCTAGGTAGGGAGGTAAGGTAAGGTAAGGTAGTTCCATCGACCTGAAGGATCTGACGCAGTCTGCTGGCTACGTGCTGTAGGGCTGGTTCAGTATCGCTTTCGCTCCCCACCCTGGCTTCCCCCGAGCTAGGCCCGGGGTAGTGTAGCGACGTCACTACCCCCTCTGTCACTCAACCGGCCTAGGTATCTAACTACCTATTTACCCACCCACAGCGCCCTCTTAGTCAGTCATCTTTGAAAAACAAAGGCCTGGGAACCGTCACTTCTTGATTCCACGACAACGGACACCACATTGCGACCCGAAACCAAGGCAAAGCACTGAAGGAGACCTTATCCGCAAATTTAGTGCCAGGCCGGGACGACTATGGTGTTGCAACCCTCGTTACTACCACTATGTCACGCTCCCGAGCTCTCGCTGTTCTACAGAAGACGTACGATGACAGCTATTTGAAGTGCTCGACTGCTGTCTACTACGAAAGCCAGGTGTGTGATGATCGGGGAAATCATAGCCCTTCTCGACCATGTCCTTCCTTCCTTTCCTTCCTGCTGATGCGAACCGTCCTTACTTTCAGGGCGACGAGAGCGAGGCGATGCGATGCTGGAAGAATGCCTTGGAACAGATTTATGATCAACACGTTACCAAGCTGCTACCCAACTATGTGGCTAGATCCGAGACGGAGGAAGCCTTGATAGATTCCTTGCGTCAACTAGAGCTCCAGTGCAAAGAGCGCATTGACCTGCTTGAAGCGTTACGGATATCCCGACAAGACGCCGCCATGACAACCCAAAACTCCAACGCTGTACCGCCGCTATCAACCTCTCCCGAGCCGTCACATGTGTCGACACCGGAACGAGGCTGGATCGGCCAAGGGACAGTCCCGGCTATCAGGTACCCTGAGCTTTCGCGGCCCGCACTGCCCAAACGCCCTTCCATGGCCACAAGAACGTCGTCAGACCATGCCGCAGTTGGACGCGGCCAGAGTCCTTCCAATACACCACCCTTTATCGGTCCCGTGTTACCCCCCGGCACGGTTTCCACAAAAGAGCAGGCAATGCGATCACCAAGTCCTGAGAAATATACCATGCGGACCACTTTGAGATCGGGCAAATCCGGGGAGAAGACGCCCAAATCGAGCCGGAAGTTATCAAAGCCTGAAGGCCCTGGCGCGAGCAAAGCAGCCACTTTGGCTTGGAGCGCTATCAGCTCCCGAGACCGGTTTTCAAGGACTCCCCAAGTGATCTCAGAGCCTTCGTCTTCTACGCTGCCGTTAGCTACGCCCCCAGAGCAACCACGCAAGCCTTCTCCCGCCGCTACCCAGTGGGATGTCCACACCCGTAGGCTTGTCACACCTCGAGAATTGCCCTCGACATCCACGGACACGCTTAGCAGCGTGCGAAACTCAGAAGATCTTTCATACGCCCGCCCTTCTGCGCTATCTGTCAGTGCCGCGTCAAGTGCTTTGAATGCCATGTCTGTCCAGGATACATCCCCTGTGGAACAAAGCACGCCAAAGCAAGAAAGGTTGTGGCGATCCAAAGACCACCCCTCTTCGGTCCCACGAAGCAGGATATCTCCACACAATCGAACCACTTCACCGGATGCAGACGATCTAGCTTTGCGGCGCAAAAGCTCTTCAGATGTCACCAAAATTCGGAGGAAACCTGTTGCTGATACGATCAACCGGTCAGCTCGACAAATCGCTAGTTTCTCCGAACAGGATAGAGTGACCCGATTCCGCCGCCAAACCCAACAGCCGCGGAGAAACTCGTCGGCCAGTTGTTCTGATGACACTGCAGCGACCCCGAAACTCCCCGAGAAAAGGCGCAAGGGCAAGCACAAGGAAGACGCGCTAGTAGCTGACGCTGGCGTAGGTTCGTCAGAAGATTCTGTTGAAGATGACAGCGAGAGGACGGCTGCGAAGGCTGTCTGGAAAGAGAAGAAGAAGCGGATGTTGAAAAATCTGCCCGCCGGGGTCGACGAGACGGCCGCGAAACAGATTCTCAATGAGATAGTTGTTCAGGGCGACGAAGTTCACTGGAACGACGTTGCTGGGCTCGAAATAGCCAAGAACGCGCTGAGAGAGACGGTGGTGTATCCATTTTTGCGTCCGGACTTGTTCATGGGGCTTCGGGAGCCCGCGAGAGGCATGCTGCTTTTCGGTCCTCCCGGGACAGGAAAGACTATGCTGGCTCGAGCTGTGGCAACAGAGTCCAAGTCGGCATTCTTCTCCATATCTGCTAGCAGTCTGACAAGCAAGTATCTTGGCGAATCGGAAAAGCTTGTACGAGCGCTGTTCAGTTTAGCAAAGGCATTGGCACCAAGCATCATCTTTGTCGATGAAATCGACTCGCTACTATCGCAACGATCTGGGTCAGGAGAACACGAAGCGACGAGGCGGATCAAAACCGAATTTCTGATTCAGTGGAGTGATCTGCAGCGTGCTGCTGCTGGAAGAGCGGTCGATGAAAAGGACGTCAATCGGGGCGATCCCAATCGTGTTCTCGTTCTAGCGGCAACCAATTTGCCCTGGGCCATTGACGAGGCTGCCCGCCGCAGGTTTGTTAGACGTCAATACATACCACTACCCGAACCGAAGACCCGCTCCACGCAACTTCGGACACTTTTGGGTCAGCAGAAGCATAGCCTTACGGATCACGACATTGAAAAACTCATTGACCTAACAGATGGTTAGTATCATCCCCCCGAAGCTACTTGGCTTGCCTTGCTTGACGGATTCCAACATTGACATTGAGCGTGACAGGCTTTTCCGGATCTGACATCACAGCTTTGGCCAAGGACGCGGCAATGGGCCCCCTTCGATCCTTGGGCGAGGCGCTGCTAACTATGACGATGGATGAAATCCGACCCATTGGGCTTGCGGACTTTGAGGCAAGTCTGACCACGATTCGGCCAAGCGTGAGCAAGGCAGGATTGAAGGAATATGAAGATTGGGCGAGAGAGTTTGGAGAAAGAGGCGGGTAAGAGCTACAACTGATGGCGAGCGCTGCATTCGCTCTATGTGATTTGCAAAGGGCCCGGACAAGACATAACGGGAAAACATGATACCCCAAGTAGCGATCGGTGGGTTACTGGCGCAGAATAAATGGTGGGAGTCATTTGACAACTGGGCCTTGTTTTCTGTCCAGCAATATGAGGCACCTGTCAGCCTACGTTAGGAATGTTACATGAGTTTTGGCACAAAGCAAGCTGCGCACACAATTTGCAAACCGGGCGCTACATCGCGACATAGATCGGGCAGATCAATCGCCGAGGTTTCGTAGGATCCGCCTTCTACACAACCTTTTTTGCAGGATGTTGTACACTGTGTTGTTTCTCTAGTATGAATTGAAAGTATGGCGTTAGACAAGCAAACTTCAATCAACTTCTGGCTGAGGTGCAGCCGCGGGCCTCTTTGTGATATCCTGCCTCCTTTCCGCTCGTCTTGCGTCCTTTGTCTCCTTCATTTGCGTACGGGCAGCGAGAAGCTCCTCTATCGTCGGGATGCTTGGGCGGTCTTCGATCGGAGTGCCGTGGGGTGCGATGATGCTCTTGACAACGTGGCGCTTTTGGGGAGATCTTCTCCAACCGGGAACGATCGAAACGATGTCGCCTTGCCTCAAGGAATTGTTGGGATCATGGACGAGGTATTTCTTCGGTTTCGTAAACATCTGGCGACAAGTGGTGATCAGCCATGACCCATGGGCTTCGGTGAGAAACATAAAGCATTTACCTTTTGGACCTTTTGATTCCATTGCTGGCCGCCCACGCGTACCTTGACCGTCTTCGACATCCGGCCGGCGGTCACCACAACGCCATGAAGCTCGCGAAAGACTTGGCCCGCGGTTGAGATGGCCGATTTCGACATAGTGAACTTTAAAATGAGCCTATACCAAGGCAGAACTTATGTATGTCGCGTCTGCTTATGTGCAGTTCTGTTGTGACTGGGGACGTTGGAGAAATTGAAGGTTGTTCTCTGCCGGGGCTGATTATGTTGCCTCGCATCCATTAGAATTGCTGAATTTGACCTACGATAAGTCCAGTATGATTGGTTGCTCGGAACAGCTATTACGCCGGCCGTGCTCTAACCTATCTGGGCATCTATCAGCCCGGGGCCCGCCCCACGTATGTGTTCCATGCCAAGCAGGACCCGACACTGCGGGAGGAGCGACGCTAAGATAACCTTAGATTGCACAGCCTTGGCTCTCACAGCGTTTTGGCCGCCAAATGCGAAAGGGTGCTTTTTGTTTAGTTTATAGAGACAGGCGTTTCTTAACGTGCCCGACTAAAGAGGTGAGGGCTCTTGAATTTTCTGGATACGGTGATAACTGTCTTATGCGCAGCCGTCATCCTGTCCCGTTCAGTGATGCGCCCATGCAACCGATCCCATCAATTTCGATAGCGCTCGTTCGCCGAGGAAAGAGCTCGCCAGGGTCAATTAAGACAACGCAAGTCCACAAGACAAATAGTGAGGACTTGCAATTTTTAGGGAGCTACTGGTTCGTCGTCCTGAGTAAAGGCTTGTGGATCTGGGTCCATGTTCTCAAACATCGAGTCAATGATCAATCATGTGAGAGACAGGGAGTATCGTGGATTGAAAAGCAGGCCGGTTTGTCAAGAACACGCGTACTTTTTACGTGAAGGTTTTTTTTCTACTGTCTCCACAGATAAGAGCTCACCAATGACAGTGTGAAGCTATCACGGTACTGGCAACAGCGGGAGAATAGCAATAACATTCATCTTGCGTGTCCCTACACAACGACTGCTGCATTCTTTACTTACTGTCCGAGGCAGACTCGAGATCGTGTTTGGAGAGACAACGAGACAACAAGAGCAGATACGGCAACGATACAGGGGATAGATATGGCATGAGAGACGGCATGAGGGACTAGCAACGCTACCGAGGCAGTTAATTGTCATAACTGGCAGCCCTGGAGAGGTTTGAGATCAATGGATCTGTTCCCTGGAGGAACCTAGTTGCCTCAGGTGCCAATCTGAGGTGCCTATGTGTGCTGGAGGTGCCTCGATGCTTTCACATACCTTCAAGGTTGCCTATTGGCTGACCCACCTGGTGTCGCTTATCCAACCATAAGGTACCTACTGCGCCCTACCTAAGGTGGGAAAACTGTGAATGGAGGTACCTTAGCTTTTCTTTCTGCCGGGCGGGCAGACGCCTGTGTTGTGCCCCGCCCTCGGGTGCCCTCGTGCCTCCTTGACCAAGATAAGGTAAGTACTGCATAGTAAGGCCTGTCGGCGCGCGCCATGGAACGACGTCGCAAACTTTCGCCCTAGGTGCCCCAACTGTCACGCATATTAAACCTGCATTCCTCGCACCCGTCCCACACGCTCCGCGACTGATTCTTCTTGTCGCCCTCTTCTTTCTGTGTTACAACGCACACTCTGCGACATTCCGTCCCTACTCACCCAAACTCACGGTAGCCTTACTGTGTGTGTCCTAGCGCAGTTCTGTTTATTTGTCGGTTTAACACCTCCTTTGCTCCTGCTCCCTGCCTCCATCCCCTCCCTTCGGGAAAAAAAAAATGTCTTCACCCGAGGCCCGTGCTGGAGTAAAGCGACCTCGTAAGTTCCGATGCCTTTTCTTCATAAACAACCGTACCTGGTGTTTGCCCGTCTCTTCTCTTCTTCGTATTGCCCGCCTGCCCTCCAGGCAATCTCGTGCAACATCTTGCGCATTTATTCGGTGGGCCTGATCAAACGTTGCTACCCTCTGAAGTGTTTGCGACCATCAGTAGAAACCAGAGGCAAAGCTTTCCGTGGAAATCGCGCACTGCTTTAGCGGCGATGGCAGACTCATCTTCCCAGGGCAAGACCGCAACTTGTTCGCTTCATTGTCATCGCATCTCGGCTAATGTATCAATTCTTACAGGCACTCAGTCGCTTCCCCCTCCGGCGCTCCCACAGCTTGTCGCCGAACAGAATGTTCCGATCCCCCCTGCAGACAAGGACTCCCAGCGTTTAATCGTTGTCCTGTCTAATGCCAGCCTCGAGACGTACAAAGCATCCCACGGCGGAACTGGTCGGAATGGCGTCCAAAGGGAGGAGAAGTACTCGCTGCTGAACAGTGACGAGCATATTGGAGTCATGCGCAAGATGAACCGCGATATCAGTGACGCGCGCCCTGACATTACTCACCAGGTTGGACACTACCAGTACACTGCTTTGCATTTTACGCGCCCCAACGCGCTCTACTGATGTCTGCATTCAACATGCTGACCATACTGACCAGTGTCTTCTCACCCTGCTCGACTCGCCTATCAACAAGGCTGGCAAACTTCAGATTTACATCCACACCGCCAAAGGTGTCTTGATTGAAGTGTCGCCCTCGGTTCGCATTCCGCGAACTTTCAAACGCTTTGCTGGTTTGATGGTCCAATTGCTGCACCGTCTATCTATCCGCTCCACCAACTCGCAGGAGAAGCTCTTGCGTGTCATCCAGAATCCCATCACCGACCACCTGCCTCCCAACTGCCGCAAGGTCACACTCAGCTTCGAGGCCCCCTTGGTGAAGTGCAGGGACTACATCGATACCTTGGGTCCGAAGGAGAGTGTTTGCGTCTTTGTGGGTGCCATGGCGAAAGGTGCTGATACTTTTGCCGATGGTCTCGTGGACGAGAAGATATCTATCAGCAACTACAGCTTGTCAGCTAGTGTTGCCTGCAGCAAGTTCTGTCACGCCGCCGAGGACTGCTGGGACATTCAGTGATTGCGAGTGCCCCACGCCAATGATTTGCGGCTGGTGAGTGTGTGTAGCGGAACGCAAGCTGCTGCTATACCTAGACTGAATGCGACGTTGGCCCATGCTGCCAAGTTCTTTGGTTCCCCGATCTGCAGGACCCAGCGCCATCAACTCGTACTTCGAAAGCCACGGGCGCAGCAGGAAGAGCACGATACAATATTGTGGTCGGCAGCCGTAGCCTCCGGATCTCGGTTCGCCTACGCTTGCGCTTCCGCTGTTTCACAACCAAAACTGGGGCATCCATCGACATTCAACATGCTCTCTTCTTCCATTCGTGTCACGTCAAGTCGACATAGCAACTCTTGCCGTCACGCTCATTGATCATGCGTGGTTGGTTGTAGGACCTCTTCAGCTGTGGCAATACTTTTTGTTTTCTTGGCCATAGTCATAAGGTGGGGGGGAGAGCAAATTTCAAAAGCCAACGGCAAGCGCCGAGGCAGGCAGAGGGTGACTCCTTGTCGCTGAATTGATAGCCAGAGGGTTTTCGGGCTTGTTAATGGGTTGTTAAGTACCAAATAAGGATCGCCTCAGTCGCTGTACGTATGGGCGTGCAGGCTCTAGTACTGCTGAGAGGCCCATCCAGTTGAACACAGAATCGCATCAATGTCTACGACTACCTCAATTAAGCATCTTGGTGATCTCGTGCGGTGGTGCACCGGAGAAATGGCACATCAGCGCGCGTGTGGCCTTATTTGGTGGCCGCGATTGGTCTGTAGATGTTTACTGTCGCCTCATGTTGAACAGTAGTAGAATGTCACAATGCTGTCAGGGGCACATTTAAGAGCGGAAGAACGGCGGAATACCCGGGAGGAGGATACCTACTTAATAGAAGTCGGCTATCTAGGGATTCGCAGTGGCATGCCATGGGCGGTAAGAAATCCCTGAGCATTTCCACAAGACTTGAAAGACGGGAGGCTAGGTTGGGCAGCGAAATAAGAGCAGGGGTTACGGCCAACCAATGAGCAAAAGAGTGAGGCGGGATGCGAGAGACCTGTCATCTGAGGCGAGAGGCGAGAGGGACTCGGAGCCGGTGGTTTGCATCAGGTTCCATTCGGCAGGCGGGCTGGGACTCAGACTCGGCGCAGTGATCCAGAGCGGTAGACGTTGCGGTGAGTTGCAGCTGGAACTGAGGGACTGTCACGCCGATGATTGGGCGTTGAAGCAGGATGAGAAAAGTGCACGTTTCCAACGCGAACGAAGTGTGGTGGATGGCAATGGGGCAGCGGGGCTTGGTAACCGAGTGGTGGCCAGACACGGCATGACACGATTTCCGTAAGGTATAGGCGGCTTCCATTGGGTTGGGCTTAAGACGCTTTCCTGCCGGTGCTTTCCGCCAGTCTCTCGTACCGTTGAAGGATAATTCTGACAATGACTGAGGCATTGCGGTTGCTCTTTTGCTGTCTGGTGGGGCGAACCTACAGCACATCCATCGATACGTATCTTAGGTACCACGTAAGGAACCTACCACACTCGGGCTAGCTTACCTTAGTGCGCCTAGATACGACTAGGTGGCCGAGGAGATGGTGCCCTCAACGGCTCCTGGTGGTCTCCGGCAGCATCCCCGGGCAAGGTGGCCGTCTTGGAGTCGGCTGGATTCGACTGGATGTAGAGACCACCAACTCAGTCAGACCGCGATGCAGCAGAAAGGACTGGCCAGACCCGAGCAGCCAGCAGGCTCCATTGGCGGGTAGCATTAGTGCATGGGCACTTGGTGGCCGCATCGACACGGAACCGCCATCACGGACTGACCCGTTTCTAGACTATTGCCAGGTAAGGCACGTACGCAGAGCAAATGACTGGTGTCTTCTATTTGTTTGTTTTCCCTTCCAAATAGTTCCAGATAGGCATCCCAATTGGAAGGCATTCTTCTCTTCGCCTCAGATACTGGAATGGAAGAGATGCCCCGAAGCAATGAATGCTCGTTCTCAAGATAGTTAAAGCCCATCTTGCCTCTAGGCACCATCTCACGTCTCGCGTCCATGTACACCCTCATAACCAAAAGTACAACAAGCAGCCAGCCATCCTCCAACCCAAACTCTACCCTACCTAGGTAGCCAGGCCAAGCCAAGCCACCAACCCCAACTTCATCCCCGTCCATATCCCTATACCCGTCTCCGTCTCCGTCTCCGTCTCCATAAGATCTCATTATTGTTGCCTGCTTCCGTGCCCATCCCCGACAGCCCCAGATGACCCCCTACTTCGATGTCTCCCACCTGCCCTCGTCAGCCTCCTTCTACTCGGCCGTCCTCCAACCCCTCGGCCTCCGCTATATATCCACCGACACGGTGACCGCTGACAACGCGGACGACAACGACAACGACTCCAAGACGACCATCACCAACCGTCCGAGGTGTGAGCTTGTCAGGCTTCCCGCCGCAGTCACCTTCGGTTTCCGTGATCAAACATCATCCCCGCCGACCCCCGTCTTCAAGATCCGCGAGACCCGCAATTCTTTCGAGCCCCTGAAGAAGTCCCGCGTTGTCTTCTCTGCTCCATCCCCCACCGTTGTCACCGACTTCCACTCCTATACCCTGCGTGCTAACCCTGCTCTCCTGCCCATCTCCCGCCCCGCTGCCATAACCCAAAGTGGCGATACCCACCGCGCCGTTGTCACCGACTTGGACGGTAACACCATGGAAGTTGTATATCAACCCCCTCCCAACTACCCTCCCTCCTATGCTGGCTCTACCGTTCGAAAAACCCAATCAACACACGACGAAGTCAGTCGCATCCTCAACTGGAACTACGACGTTGCAAAATCTTCGCCATCACGCTCTGCCGCCGCTGCGCCTGCCAGACCCTACGCCTCTGGAGCCATGACCTCCCAAGCCGGCCAATACCCTGGCAACGAGCCGTACACACTACTCCGCCGCAGTGTCACCACTTCCATTATCGAAACCTCTCCGTCAGCCAACAATGATCTGGCTTCCTCGCCCGCTAAGTCCGCCGCCCCGAGCAGCAATTTGCAGACCAGTACCGTCCTCGGAGGTCTCCTGGGCGCGGCTGTCGGAGCTGCCGCCGGCGCCGCCATGACATACACCATGTTAAAGAAGGAACGTGCACAGGCTCCGAGCCAGGAACTTGACGGCGCTGGTCCCGCTCCGCCCTTCCAGCGCCGTGCTACCTTCCCCGAGCAGTACTCGGATCAACAGCCCGCACCGCGTTACGTCGAGGTCGAGAGAACTGTCGAAAAGATCCGCTATCCCGAAGCGTACCAGACCCTCCCCGACAACCGTGTCCCGCATCAGTACGCGGCCAAATACAGCCAAGCCGGCAGCCGGGCTCGCGAAGACGTCGATGACGATGGCCGAAGTCAGGCGTCCCGTTACCAACTTGAGAGGGCCAGCACCGTTCACTCTCGTAGTCAGACCGCTGTTCCCAGGGCGACTCCGCTCATGATTACCGACTACGAGCACCAAAGCAACGCTGGACTTAGCATTGCTGGCAAGTCGGCCGTGCCTCGTACCGTGGTCGACGACGCTGCAACGTATGTCTCGGCCAGAAGTGCCAGATCCCAGTCAACCGTCCGCCCGCCGCCACCCACCGTCGAGACCATTCTGGGGGGCAGGAGTACGGCTCCCAGCCGCGCGCCGACACAGGCTCCAAGCATTGTTCCAAGCAGAGCCCCCACTCATGCTCCGAGTGTGGTTCCGAGCAGAGCCCCCACCTATGCTCCGAGTAGAGCTCCGACTGATGTCCGCAGCCGGGCACCCACCGCTGCTCCCAGTCGGGCCCCTACCATCGCCCCCAGCAGAGCTCCGACCAAAGCACCCAGTCATGCGCCGACATATGTGCCAAGTAAAGCGCCGAGCAGAACGCCTACCAAAGTTCCGGTTCGGGCTCCTCCAACCATTGTTCGAGCCGCCAACCAGCAACAGGTGTTTGGATATCCGCCAGCCACACGAGCACCTACATTCATGCCAGCAGCGCGTGCTCCTGCGCCGGAGAGCCGTGCTGGCAGCAGGTGGGAGGACGATGTCGTCAGTATCGCTCCGAGTGACAGCATCAGCTGCATTGGTAGCAGAACGAGCAGACGCCAGTATCACTAAAGAAGGCGAGACGAATTGCAAGGCCTGCAAACGTGATGTTACGTGGAAACAATTATTTCGCGTTTACGCGCTGGTTCATGCATGTGCGTTGTTCTAGCGAAGGCAAGGTTAAGAACTTCAAGTCGAGACCTATAAACAATTAACAGATGACTCGGCCAACAGCACGAGGACTGGAGGATGAGTCAGAGTGCGTCTCTACATATATATGCCAAGTTGGCGGTGGGGGCACGAGGGCCGCTTGCACGCGGCCAGGTCGTTGCATGTAGTAGCATTTGCTGATCTTTTGTGTGACCACTCATTTACTATTTTTTCTTGTGCGCAATGAAGGATGGTCAAACATGTGTCTGTTGAAGAGAGAGCGAGGTCTCAATTGTGTCGGTATGGAATGGTCTAGATTCTCCATGGGCGACGGCCCGGCTGGATTTGAAAAATGGGCCATGGTTGCTTTCTATTGTTCCAGTCAATAACTAACTCGCTTTGGTATCAGAGTTGTGCACAGAGCACCGAAAGGGCCGCGGTTGTGATGTAGTCTCGGGCATGACGTGCGCCTTGGTGAAGAGCCGCTGCATTCCTTCTCTACAGGCACTTTGCAACTACAATGAGGGGTATTCAAGCGTTCAAGCTCCGATACTCGGCGCCCCGCAGGTTGCTGGCACTGGATGCCAACAGCGTTGCCCAGCTTCCCCCCCCCTCCAATCCCTGCGGATTTATACGCCTCGAGTCAAGCGCTGGCAAAGTTCGAATTCGCATACGCACAGCAAATTACTACTTTTCTCCAGCCTTTGACTCCGTCCTACCTACCACCGAACACAAGCACGGGTGGGGACACACCGACGACAAATACAGCGTTTGGATGCCTGGTTTTTGTCAGTCTCCTCTCTGTCCTAGCGCCGGTGGGACCCTCTATCTTCATCGGCCTAATCTTGACCCTGCATTGACTCATTTTATCAACTTGGCGCGATCAACTTTTTGCGGGCATCCAGCGCGAACGTCTGTCTCAGCAAGCTCAGTGAGTCGTCGTCTCGGTCAGATCTTCATTGTCCGTTGGTTCATTGTTACATGCGTTGGGTTCTAACTTCCCGGGCACTGCGGAATAGCAGACAGTAGGGAGCAACCTGCCAGCCAAAATGCCGTCCTTCGAACTAGGCCAGTCTATACCTCCTGACACTGCCCATGTAAGGACAGCTTGATTCCGACACCTTGCAGATGGGTAAGAATGACTGACGGTTCACTAGGCAGTCAGCGTTCACCTACCAACCTGGGAGGCGAATGTAGGTTATGAAGAGGGCCAGCCATGGGTCGTGAACAAAATGACAACTGGATATCCAAGGTGGGTTTTGTTGCAAGAATACTTCGAAGCCCCGGCTCACCACCCGTGTAGATTTTTCGTTCACAAGAGCATAGTGGCACTGGCAGAGGAGCTGGTGTCACAGTATGGCCGAACTGGTCAGCAGGCTATGCTGTTCCCTACTCCCCGCATTGCTAGACGGTGCCTAGCCTTTGTCAAGAAGAATTCAGATCCATCCGCCTCTTCCGACGCCACCGTCATTGACTTTGGACTGAATGAGTCCAGAGACATTTCGCCCCTGTTGCGCTCCTTGTCGCCGACTGTTTCTGCCGTCTTTTATTCTCAGGATGCATTCCCTGTCACCAAGCAGTACTGGCAACACACCGGAGATGGCGTGTCAAGTCGCCGAGCCGAGTTTTGCCACGACCTGCTCAGGGAAGGTCTTCTAACCGCCATCGAGAGACCTTCGTCTCCGGTTGGCAAGGCGTGCCGTGGCCCCAGAAGATATCATCGCCCGTCGTCCATCGACGATACGAAACATCCTGCCCCGAAACCAACTACTTCAGGTGCGCCCGAGGCACAGGAGAGTCTACGTTTTTTGGAAGAGCGTTTCGGACGCAACCTTGACCTCTCCCTCGTCGAGCGTGCAAAGTCTGCCATCAAGCGCAGAATTGCTGGCGCCGTGGCCGCTGATATGGAAGCCAGCATCACTTCGTTGCCTCCCATGGGGAAGAACACTAGAGGCCAGGAAGACCTCCAGGAAGGCGACGTGCACTTGTTTCCCTGTGGCATGAATGCCATCTTCAACGCTCACCGGGCTATGACGCGTGCCAGGGGTAACATGAAGTCCATCAACTTCGGCTTTCCTTACGTGGACACCCTGAAAATCCTGCAAAAATTCGGCCCTGGCTGCGTATTCTACGGTCATGCCTCGGAGGAAGATCTAGATGATCTCGAGAAGCGCCTAGGAGATGGAGAACGATTTTTGGCGCTCTTCTGCGAGTTTCCCGGGAACCCTCTTCTGACCTGCCCTAATCTGTCCCGGATCCGAAGTCTTGCGGACAAATACGATTTCGGTGTTGTCGTGGACGAGACCATCGGCAGCTTTGTCAACGTGGATGTTTTACAGTACGCCGACATCGTCGTGAGCAGTCTAACCAAGATTTTTTCAGGCGATTGCAACGTCATGGGTGGTAGTGCCATCTTGAATCCTGGTGGCAGATACTACCAGGCTCTGAAGACTGCCTGGGCTGAAGACTTGGAAGATACGTATTGGCCCGAAGACGTTGTCTTTATGGAGCGGAACAGCAGAGACTTCGCGTCTCGCGTCGAGCGCATAAACACGAACTCAGAAGCCATCTGCGACATCCTCTCAGCCCACCCGCTAGTCAAACGTGTCTATTACCCCAAGGTGAACCCGACAAGACCCAATTACGACCTGTGCAAGCTACCCGGGGGGGGTTACGGGGGGCTTCTGTCCGTAACGTTCAAGCAGAAAGAGAATGCTATGACCTTCTTCGACTCGCTTGAGACGGCAAAGGGACCAAGCCTAGGAACCAACTTCACCCTGACGTCGCCCTACGTGCTTCTGGCGCACTACCAGGAGCTGGACTGGGCGGCCGGTCTGGGCGTTGACCCAGACCTGATCCGCGTGAGCGTCGGCCTGGAGGAAACAGACGAGTTGAAGCACATTTTCGCGCTTGCCCTCAAGGCAGCAGAAGAACAGAAGGTTGCCTGAATTTGACAACCATATCGCAGGGCTAGCAGCTGTTGAACAATAACAACAATAACACCAGCGACATGCTAGAGTCACCAGGTCATACACTGGCCAACCTGGATGAAAATAAGAAGAATTGGGATAAGGAGGCCAAAGTTCGACTTAGTCGCCCAGTTTCACTACTGAGAACTTGTATCGGAATTATCAAGGGTATCTCTTAGCGAAACCTATAAATCAGTGAATAGTGTAACAGGTCATCCTCCCAAATTCAGCCCGTGGTTACATGATGGAGCACTCAGAATGAACATATTCGGGCCCGTAGTCTTCGATGCCTCGCTCGATTTCATTGGCGCGTTGTTTCTCCTTGGCCTCTTTCGGAAAATACTTGCGCATGTATTTTTCCAGCTGCATGTCCAGATTGTCTACCACATTGTGCCATTAGTACGCAACATACTCAAGGCTTGCAACCTTCACTGGAAGTCAGTTTTCGTGAGGGACTATCATTCTCACCTGCGGATGCTTTCATGACTGTGTCAGCTCTGCATAGTGGGCAGTTTTTCTCGTTGCGACGCTGGATCTTAACGATACACCTGATGCAAAAAACGTGCTGACAGGCCAGCCGAACCGGCCGGTAGGCGATAGAGAAGCAAATCGGGCACAAGTAGTCGCTGATCTGCGGAACGACGGACACCAGGTCGGTCGACATCTGGGCGCATATATCCTTGGCAACGGATCCAGCCAGCAACTTGTCGGAGTGAACTTGGGTCGGAAAAGACTTGGAAACTCCAAGACAAGTCCGCTTATCAAACTCTGCGTCTGTTAGTCTTCCTTTGGCACGGAAGCTAGTGTTGACTGCATAGCAGCGATGTGAATTATCCAGAAAGCCACGTACTTTTCAAAATCTTATAGATGGCGATCTGATTGATCTCCTGAAACTGCAGGTTTTTAAGCAAGACAGCATTCAGACTCATGAAGCGCACTAGAGCCTCCCTGCTCTCGGGGATTTTGAAGGCTTTGGCCAAATTTCGTTTAGTGATCTCCGCCTGAAACCACTGTAATTGTTTTGCGGCAGTCTGACTGTCACGAGAGCCATGGTCCTGTTCATTGGTTGAGAAAAAGACTTGGGCGTCAAGGTACAACTCAAAGATAGCCCGCCACCTCGCGAGATCGCTTTTGGAGAGTCGGCTTGGCTTGGTGAGATGCGACACATCCTGACGAAGGGCAACAATCTCTGTCACCATAGCCTTCTCTTCTCTGGCCTGGAGTGCGTCGAGGTTGTTCACATCGCTCTGGAGTATGTCGAAAAATTCACTGTCAAAGACAAGGGGTACCTCGATGCGCTCATACTTCTCGAAAGGTGCCGGTTGATCCTTGATCGTAGACAACCTGGCCTCCACGACAGCAATGGTCACGTCAGACTCAGATATGAGCGACTCTGATGAGGCCTCTTCCGGCGACTGAGATCCTGAGGATGGCAGCTGATCCATGTCAAAGTCGCCCTCCGAAATAGGAGACTGGAGTGCGGCAATGCGTTGAAGAAGAGCGCGAGACGAAGGGGTCAATGAGGCATCTACTGCATTGCCATCGCACATGTGGACCTCGACGGTCAGCTTGGGTCGTAGCAATTTGGAATTTCCAGCAGCTGAGAAATCGTCAACACATGTTGGTGCGAACGTCTGTTCGAGCGGCGGTAGCAAATGTTGAAAGAGGGTGAGAGCCTACCATTGAGACGGTATTTAGCGGCCAGCGGCGAATCAACAGCAGGGTCGAGGAGTTGACGCAAGGTCTCTGGGTCGAGTCCAAGATCGTTCAACTCGCCAGAAACGCGCTTGAGAACCTTTTTCAGTTGGCTATATGGGACGGCGAGATCAACCCAGTGAGGTGGGAAACCTATGAGGTACTGTCAGCCAGTCTCATTCTTCGGGGACATGTATGTACGCGAAGGGGCACGTACCTTCCCGCCTGAGCGTCTCTTTGAAATCATGGGCAAACTTCATGGCTTATCAAATCACTAGTGCAAGTATACGAAAACGACAGTGTTGGCGCCGAATGAAGACATGGCTTTCCCGTGTAAGCGTTGCTGGCCTTGGGTCGTTGGTAGGAAGGCATCAAGAAGATAGACTACAGGTGGTGTTAAGGCGACGATTGCGCTATATAATGAGCAAATAGGCGCGTAACGAATTTTCTTTCTTTGTCCCCCCCCCCCCCCGACCTGCTGAGCTTTCGCAGCTGTCACGGGCAGGGACATGGGTGGCGTCAGTGACAGGTGCAAGTACAGGTACGGCGGGTACAGGCCGCTTGGGTACCTAGATGCACCTACGCTGCCCGGGGAGTTCCGCTACCTACCCAGGCACCTTGGGTAAGGTAGGTAAAGAGACGCGGGACAGCCCACGTCACCTCCCCGAGGTGCCACATGTAGACCTACATGCTAGTTTAGCGCCTGCAATGGTCCGAGTTTGTGGCATTCAGTAATCCATGGGTCGCCAACGGCGCCTCAAACTCACCAACTCCAGGGTCTAGACCATTAAAGACGAGGCTGGGCTTGTGCTTCAGTTGGTAACCCTGAATCGGGAAAACCCACGCTTCAAACATATCCTGCTTAGCTTCGTAGATACTAGGCAAAAGTTGCAGAAAGGTGAAGACAGCGCTGGAGCCGTATTGAGTGTAGCTAAGAAAGGGGAGCAGCACCAGACGGGTAGAGTGGCCCAGTGGAAGCGGCATAATCTTGCAACTTGTTGACGGCATGCCGTCTTTTCGAGGTCAGAACTATGTTAAGCTGCAACTAGGTGTGATTGAATAAGAAAAAAAACTGGCAAAATTGCCTTCTTTTTCTTTTCGCCCGGGGAGGGCGGGATTGTGCAAGGGGGATAAAAAAAATAAAAAAATTTAAAAAAATTTTAAAAAAAAAAAGCGCAGTGGCCAGTGATCACAGCGCGACAAGTGTGGAGCATTAAAGTGCACGGTGCGGTTAAGCCCGCTCAAACTCTTTACTAAGATATGTCTCTGTCGCATGGTTCCGTCGTATGTGTATCTGATTCGACAGCTAGATAATATGGAGGAGCTGCAATGTATGTTTGAAAACTCATAGCCATAGGTGTGTGAAGAGACGAATACTCATTCAAGACCCCCCCTAGCTGCCTGAAAACTGGTTTGTCCACTACATTGAGTTCGCAGTTAAAATCCCGTGAACTGGGCGCTGGATGACTCATCGGGCTCGATTGGCCGCGACACATCGGGTTGAACAAAACGAAGTCCTTCTCACCTCAACTCACAACCAAGCCTCCGCCCAACGTTGAGATACATGGTACCGAGATGGCGTAGGTCTGTCTAGTTCGACGATTTCTGATTGTCGTTTTGGTCCGGCTCATCACGTCGAATTTGGAGGCTGCCTTTTATCGACCATCTTCACTGGATCGTCTTTTACTCTCCCGATATATCAGGCGTTATAAAACCAAGACTGCCGCCCCATCACCTGACTGAAGGCGACAATCACATAGTCGTAACAAAACATGGGCGCTCAACAATCCTCCGGTCGCGACCAAACGGCCGGGGCGGCGTCTCAGCCCATAAAAACATGCTACTACGAGCTACTCGCGGTCGAGCGGGATGCCACCGATGACGAGTGCGCCATCCTGTTCCAGTTCCAAGCCTTCCTTATACTGATTTTCTATAGGATTAAGAAGGCCTACAGGAAGCGTGCTTTAGAGCTCCATCCAGATCGAAATTATGGCGACGTCGACAACGCCACCCGACGCTTCGCTGAGGTCCAAGCCGCCTACGAGGTTCTTTCCGACCCTCAAGAGCGAGCATGGTATGATTCGCATCGCGAAGCCATCCTGCGTGGTGCCGACCCAGAAGATGCAGATGGGCTCGGGTCCGAGTTCAATAACGTTAAGCTTACCTCCACGGATGACATCTTCTCCTTGATCCGTCGCTTCAATGCCACTGTCCCCTTCACGGACGAACCTTCCGGGTTCTTCGGCATCGCAAAGGCAACGTTTGATCACCTACTGGACGAAGAAGTCGCTGCTGGAGAGTATGCGCCCGGAAATATGCCTGACTATCCTACATTTGGCATTTCCGACGATGGATATGAGGATGTCGCCAAGCCCTTTTACGGTGCTTGGGCAAGTTTCTCGACACGAAAGACATTTGCCTGGAAGGACAAGTACAGAGTGTCAGATGCGCCTGATCGTCGTGTACGTCGTCTCATGGAAAAGGAAAACAAGAAGTTACGCGACGAAGCCATTCGCGACTTCAACGATGCCGTAAGATTTCTCGTCACATTTGTACGGAAGCGCGACCCCCGATACCTTCCCAACACCCAGACTGCTGCGGAACGCCAAGAGTCTCTGCGAAATGCTGCAGCTGCTCAGGCAGCTCGCTCGCGTGCCGCCAATCTTGAAAAGCTTTCTGACGCTGTTGTTCCCGACTGGGCCCAGGCTCGGGATGATGCGGACGCCGGTGGTCATTTCCCCGAAAGCGAGGAGGAGGAATCAGAGGTCGAAGTTCTCGAGTGTGTCGTGTGTAACAAGACTTTCAAGAGCGAAAAGTCGTTTGAAGCACATGAGCGGAGCAAAAAGCACCTGAGGGCAGTTCAGCAGCTTCGACGTCAAATGAGAGACGAAGATATGAATTTCAACCTCCGAGAAAGCTCCACGGTACAAATTAAGAAAAGTGAGGCGGAAAACAAGGCAGAGCTCGAGGATCTTCAAAATCTGGAGAGTGACAATGTGCACGAGGTTGGTGGGGAGGAGAATGTGCCGGACGTCACCTTATCGACAGCGAAAGAAGCCGTCGATTCTGATGCTGCTTCGGACTCCCCAGACGATGATGAATATGCTTCCCGCGCCGAAGTAGAGCAGCGCCTTTTCTCCAACGATACGACACTTCCGCAAAGTGGACAAGAGAGCACGTGCAAGCCTGACAGCGACCAAATTGCCAATCTCATCGGGCCCCTCTCTATTGGCGACGATGGCGACGATCGCCAACAGCCCAAGAAAATTGGAAAGGCCAAGGCTAAACGCGAGAAGAAGGCAGCTCGTGAGGCAGCGGGGGAGTCTCAGGCCGGCGTTGTAAGTTTCCGACTTGTCCTTTCCCGCTCTGCATCGTCGCTAATGGGCTCAAAGCACACTTGTGGTGTTTGTCAATCAACATTCTCCTCCAAAACAAAACTTTTTACCCACATTCGAGAATTGGATCACGCAACACCGATATCGAAGACTACGGGTAGAAGGAAGAAGCGATAGATTACCAAAATAGGAAGTAGTACCGCGCCATCTTCGCGTACTACGACTTGTACCCGTAGCATCTCGATAAATTAAAATGTCCAAATCCATGCATCCAGACCGATGCTGCTAAAAGAAGCCTTTAATGTTCCCCGGCCGGCCCTGTTGCGCCTCAATGTGCTGGTCGTGGATAGACTGATGCCCAGATCACGAATAAAGAAGTGTCATCCCGACGCCGAACGGGTTTGCTGACCGCCTGTGCGCCTTACTCGCCTCAAACATCGAGGATAGTATCTCCATCGTCATCGCTAAGGGTTTCCACCTCGTCAATCGCACTCTCTCTCTCTTTACTGCCTACTCCAGCAACAGGATCGTTGTCTGCGACATGTATCACGGCCTTGCCTTGCACATGCTTAACATTGCGTCGCCACTCGGACCAATCATCGTCATCTTTGATTAGAAACCCAATCAGCATGCTGGGATCCATTTCCCTGACATGCAGTCGCCGCAGCCTCCGGGTATGGGCGGTGTCAATGTCCGCGTCAGTATATCTTGATGGATCCGAATGATAAGGAAGAGCTGGACGCGTGTGGTGGGGATCTAGGTAGAACAGGAAGGAACCTTGTGCCCCTATGAAATAGTGTGAGGCAGATGGCCGGCCTCTGCGGGAGGATTAGTACCACACCAAGCTCCTGTATCCGGGACCACTCACCCGGCAATACCTACGGACTGTGGCATCTGTAGAGCAGCGATCAGAGCATCCCAGTAGACAGGTGTGATCTTGTCGATACCCAGCCTCGTGCCCACCAGAATGAGCGTCGGATGGAATCGAGTGCCATCAGGCTTCGCAATCTTCATAAATTTGTCCTCGTAAACGTCCGGTCCATCGCCAGTAGAATAAACCCTCAAAGACGGTTGCTCTTGGGCGTTGGTCAGAGACCTGCAGTCGGTGTTTAGATCATCTGTGACTTCAAACATAACCAGACGGACCACAGTCAGATACAACTTACTGGATGCAGCGGGCAGTCGCAGACGGGCCGAACCATTCCCCAGGATATTTTCCGCAAGCAACTGCGCCGTGTTGGACAAATTGATGGATCGAAAAAGACGCCCTTGGATCATCGGCGAACATGGAAAGCAGTTGGCGTTCCATACTTCGTGATTCACCTCGTCGCCAATCTGGACCAACCATTTTTAGTCGACTTGATCACTCATCGGCAACACCCATTATGGAAGCCAGGGGTTTTGGGGCTGAAACGCAGAGCAGACAGGACATACCACGACCAAGATTGGTGATAGCCATCGCGTTCGCCAGAAGCATCTGACCCGACCGAATCATGCAACCCCATCCGCTGTCGGATGAAAACCCACTTTGATCAACCAACTGACTCTTGATCCGCATCGACAAGGACAGAGCTGATGAAGCGCGAGGATCAGTAGACTTGGCTATAAGCTCAAAGTCGGACCGATACGTCATCCAGAACTTGGACTCGAAATCATCCAAGAATGCAGCGGGCCAGCCTCCATCTTGCACAGAGTAATCATCGTCGTATGCCAAAGAGGAGGAGAAACTGCTGGACACTGAATCAGGAGGAGTCTCGGGACCCAGAGCTGGGGGCACTGGTGATGGGTTATTAGCGTTGGTCTGGGAACTGGCAGTGTCTGTTGTAGGCGGCGTCTGGCCACGGCTGCCCTTCTCTTTACCAGCCTTGGTGCTTAGATTGTATGACCGACCCAAGCACCAGACGGGAAGGTCGACCCGGTAGTCATTTGTAGGCTCAGGATCCCAGAATATCTGCACGATTCGACGGTACCGGCCGAGATCCACAGCAGCCATTGCGGATGCCATCGAGAGTATAGGCTCGGTCCAAATGCCGAGAGGATGCTGGTGTTTGCGTCTGGGGGTCAGCAGCCGAAACAGAAGCTGAGATCGAAGACACAGAGGCGAGCGCGAGTTGACTGTTGACAGTGGTGGACACTGCTTGTATCGCGCTGTCGCCAGGAGTTCTAGAGCGACGTGATGAGTTGGGCTGAGCCTCGCCGGTGGTTGATGGTTCTGTGATCGCGCGAACACAGCTGAACAGTGCTAGGTAGGAGCAAGGTGATCGATCACCTGCTGTGTACAGAGTGTTTTGGAGAAGGCGGATTGGGGTAAGGCACAGAAATACGTACACTGAGGCTCGACGGGGAGGGATGTGCGGGGTAAGACGGTGCTCAGTTCGTAGATTCGCTACTAAGATCAAAGAACGTATAGGTACAGCGGATTCCACATACTTTGCCTTTGCCAGGCGACGTTAGGAAAGATGGGATGTGTAGGTTGAGAAGGTCCTCCCTAAGCTGCCCAGCCGATGGGTAACAGCAACAATAAAGTGGCCCTGTGACGCATCGGCCTACCTGGTATGCTGTATGCATGGCGGGGCTTAGTGATGTGAGGTACGCTAGTCACTATACCAACCTTACCTTTGATAGCCACATGGGGCCATGATTGGCATGTCAGCGGGTCTTCTACCTAATCGCCACCTGTATTTCGTTAACATGCTATGGTGACGATTGGGCGACACACGACTAATGGACGACTACGGAGCACCGAGATGGTCCTCTTTTGATCGTCTCAACATGCCCCACTTAAACCCACCTGTACCCGTGTTATCGATAAGTGGCTCAACAACCCGTGCGTGGTCACCTTCATCCAGGCTCTATTTTTTCCTTGCCCCCCACCTACGATTCCCATCGACGGCCGAAAGTTTGCATTTCCTAGCTTCGGAAAAGGTTGACTTTCGTTTCCTGAGGCCCTCTCACGGGGCTTTTCCACGGAAATTCTTTCAATCACAAACAAATCCACAACTTTCCCTACCAGCAGCGGTTCACGCGTAGGTGATGCCACGTCGTGGCAAGAGAGGCGGTGCGAGAGCACTGTCAGGCAGGTCTTTTCAATTGCGACCTAGTCTGGCTACGGATCGGTATCCTGCCTCAGTCAACGCTGCTTCGACCGGTTAGTTGAAACTGTTCCCAGCTGACGGATCCATGTGCCGTAAACCAAGATTGACGCCTTTGTTCCAGGGTTTACGTTGCAGGATGAGGCCCGTAGCACCGCCCACCGTTCCTCGCCCTGGAGTGCCGATACGAGACTACGACATCAACCTGTCAAATTTGTTAGCACCGGATCTATCGAGCCCCTTAAGCAACTGGAACAAGAGATCTTGCACAAAGCCGAGGCTGCTCAATTCGAAAACAAAGCGCACAAGTTGATCCTGCAGTCTCGAGACAACGCGACACAGCTCCACGAGACTAATGGCACATCGCCAGGAATCGACAACGAAACCTCCATGGCGACATCTACAGACGAAACGGACCCGGATGCCACTGCTCGTCCAGATCTCGAGATTGATTCCGCCCCCAAGCCGCCTGAGCAGGCGTCCGAGTCGCTACCGTATTTTCTTGATGTCACAGGTGACAGAGACTTGCAGCACAATGTCGCCTTTGGTGTTGAATTCCGATGCGCCTCGCCTGCCGCGTCCGACTCGAGCGAGGAAGTCATTCTGTTCAAAGGCCGTAATAAGGCTGCTCCTGAAGCTTCCGGCGGGATAGAAAAGCCATTCAACCTACATGGAATATGTACGGAGATCACGGCCATGGAGCAGACCGTCCTACCAAGCAATAGTGATACGGAGGGCTCGGCAGATGACAGTTTCAGCCTCGAGCGCAAACAACCCCGAGGCGCAAGAGCAGCAAAACGTCTTGCCGATGAGGACTTGATTGCAGACTACATTGCTAACATGCGCGAGCATGGTGATGGCGAAGGCCTACTACCGGCAGACGCATATTCTCGACGAGACTTGGGCGGCTCCCTCAGCGAATTTGAAAGTATCGACGGGTCTCTCGATACCCTCGCAGCCCAGCAGGCAAACTCTTTGTCAGATGATAGCAGCGAGGCGCAGATAGCAACCGATGCTGATGGTTTGAACGACGACAGGATTGCCGACCACGCACTCAAAGATCACCAGGCCGGGAAAGGCAAAGTCGCATGCGGCAACAATGCAGTACGAGATTCTCTCCACACAGACTTGCCTAACCTGGGCTCATTCGATGCATCTCACGGTGAAGAGGCAATTCTACCCAGCGAAATCAGCGATCAGGAAGACGATGAGGATGACCTATTTCGTTCAGCGGCAGACCGATTTGCTGGTGAGATCGATGACTTCGACTTCATGGATTGGGATCGACCTGCCTTAAAGCGTAAGGGCAAGGGCGCTAAAAATAGGATTCCAGTATTTGACATATCTGATTCGGAGCTTGAGGAGAAGATGCTGGCGGCTTGGAAGAATGACCGCACAAAGAAGGCCGAGAGAAAGCGAGAGCGACAGGCCCTGCGCGCCCAAGGCCTCCTTGGAAAGAATGTCAACCCTGAAGACTTGAGGGTGAAATATCCCCACGGTATGGGTCTAGACCAGATTGCCGATGAACTTCGGACATTTCTCCTAGGCACCAACACCATGTAAGTCGGCAGTTGCTACCTATCCGACTTGTCTTCAACAGACCCCAAAACTGACAGCAGCGCGCAGCCTCACGTTACCCCCTATGGACAATCATGCCCGGAAAGTTATTCATGAGCTGGCGAGCAAGTTTAACATCAAATCCAAGTCAACCGGGTCAGGCGACCAACGTCGCCCCATGCTTCATCGCACCTTTAGGACTGCCAAGTTTGCAGAGGAAGTGTTTGACGCCGCTATCGCTCGTGTCGGTCGCAAGTATTTCCCCCGTAATGATACTACCCTCCGAGCCGCTGTACAAAGACAATCAGCGCGCCGTGGGGGAGGCGGCGGGCATGCAGGCGTTATCTATCGGGATGGGGAAGTCGTGGGCGGATCGGCGCCGGAATTGGGCCAGGAGAACAAGGGGCGGGCGATGCTGGAAAAGATGGGCTGGAGCAGCGGCACCGCCCTCGGCGCGCTCAATAACAAAGGTATCTTGCAGCCAGTGGCCCATATCGTCAAGCGCAGCAAGGCGGGGTTGGGATAACATGCTTCTCCGGCTTCCGGGAGACGGTGTGCCCCGTATAGCGGTATCGAATGGCATACGGACTGGGCCAGGTGCAACAGACCAGCCAGCGGCAGGTCAGCGTCTTGTAAGAGTAAATTCAAAACGTTCAAAGGCCAAGGTCCAGGTGTTGTGTTCATGTGCACGAATTCATTCGTCCGAAAACCCTATTTCTCAAGGTGTATTGTACAGCCCGCAAACCCCGTTTGACCGTGAAGACATTGCCCCCAATAAAAGCAAACCATCCGTAACGCATTAAGAGACTCCAAGGATATTGGGAACCTTGGCAGGTCTCATCATGACACCCAAATGCCAAGTAAAATCCAATGCCCGAAAAGAAAAGCAGCGCAAGCATCCCTTATTTCGTGGAAGAAGAGTACTTGGTAACGGCCTTGGTGCCTTCCGAGACGGCGTGCTTGGCCAGCTCACCGGGCAGGATGAGACGAACACTAGAGTTGTCAGAAAATAGGTCCGTGTGAAGGTCAGCGAATAACTCACGAGGTCTGGATCTCGCGGGACGAGATAGTGGACTTCTTGTTGTAGGCGGCCAGCTTGGAGGCCTCGGAGGCGACGCGCTCGAAGATGTCTGCGCGTGTGTTAGAATGACGCGCCTGCGATGCGAAGTGTAATTTCATACCGTTGACGAAGGAGTTCAGGATAGACATGGCGCGGTTGGAAATACCGGTGTCGGGGTGGACCTGCTTGAGGACTGTTTCGAGTTAGCAAATTGAGGTGTATCTTGTGCGCGTGTTGTGCACGCGTCGCGAGAGAACGCCACATGGAACACTGGGAAGGCTTACCCTTGTAGATGTAAGAAGAGTAGGTCTCCTTGCGAGACTTGGTGCGCTTCTTCTTGTCGCCAGAAGCAGCGGTCTTCTTGCCGGCATCCTTCTTCTCGGGAGCCTTGGAGGCAGTGGAAGGGGCCTTGGAGGCGGGCTTCTTGTCGGCGGCCTTGGGGGGCATTTTTGCGTTTGGTTTGGAGGAGAGTGGAAGTTTGTGGTGGTGAGAGTGGTTGAGATATGCGATGTCTGACGACGGGTTGTGAGGCTGGTTGATGAAGTGTGAGAGATGTTGTGGGATGGACAAGATTGGGGGGGTGGACTGGGTTTTTGTAGCTGGACGCGACAGGCACTAGCGGCATTACTGATTTGATGCGAGGCCAGAGTGATTTTGGGGGGAAGAGCCTCGGAGGGGTGGGTGGTCAGTGGGCAGCAGCTGGTGGACCAGGGGTGTCGTGCTGCGCGACAGTAACCCGGGTGTCCTTCAATAGCCAGCCTTGGGTTATGAGTGGAGACCGCGACAGCGGCTGCCGGACTGGGATATACACGCGTTCGCGCTAAAAAAATACGTGCAGACAGGTAACTGTTTTTTTTTTTTTTTTTTTTCGTGATTCGCGTGTCACCCGGCGGTTTTACCGATCAGAACCAATCACAGCCCAGAAAACACGCCCAAAAATCCCCCAGAGCACGGCGGGTAGGCGAAAGCACGGGAAAATAGAAAGGAAACGCAACCTGTGCACTGCCCAATCAGGAAATTTCTGGGGGAAAGCTGTCGCCTGCTGCCGATGCGTCTTGAGGAAAAGGGACTGGATTGAGTTTGGCGTTAGTGAGCAAAGCGCATCCTCTCATTCCCGAACAACGACTTCAGGTCCAGAATGCAGATCCACCATCTGTCGCAAAGGAGACTCCTCAGCAACACATCGTGAGGCAAGAAAAACGCACGAGCCGCGACTTAGAATCGAAATAATTTGCAGTCTACTGTGTCAATGTGCACACAAGTTGAGAGATGGGTGACGATGCATCATCAGTATAAATCATGAGCAATAGGCGTTGACTGTAATCAACCGTGCTTGCCTATCTCAGGACTCGAGAGACACTGTCGCTACCCACTCCTAATGCCTGCATAGGTAGAGCGCATTCTGCCACACGACAGGGAGAGAACGGATTATTCTGTCTCTTCCAAGTTCCGCTTCCGCTCCTACATGGGATTTACCGCCGAACGCGATGTCGTGCTAAAGTTTCCACCATGAGGTAGGTACGCGTCACTGCCCTCAACGCGCGTGGATGGTACCTGAACCCAGTGACAGTCTGTTCACGCCTCATGGGCCTGATGAGTGACACTAAATCCCCCGATCCAGCATTAGGTAAGGTACCTAAGTAAAGGGAGCCTCGGCTGCCAAGGCACAATGGCAAGCGTGGAGACAAATCTAGATCGCGACGCGTCTTCTCCGTCGCAAAAACGCCAGAGTCCGAACCACCGCAGAAGCCAAATCGGTGGATTCCTCCAGTTCCGATTCCTAGCCCCTCTTTCCCCCTCTTCCGAGTCCAGCATTCTCCATTGCCACAAGGCTAAGTCATCTGACACATCACGGATGCCACGCAGGGATTCGGACCCTAAGGAAGCTGTCCCTAAGGACCAAGAGAGGGCGCTGGATCTGAATCTGTTTATCGGGACGGGCCCGAATGCGTGGGTTAGAGCAAACCAACACGTTAGGCTGCAGAGGATCCAGCCAGCCAACTGGAGCGTTGGAGCATGCCGTCTCATGCCCATTTCAGGGTCTATTTCAAGCCTTACATGGGCCAGAACACGGAGTTACGGTACAGGTGGCTCACGCTGCGAGAGAAGAGGGGGAAATTGTACCCCATGGATTTCACATGGAAGCACATAATGAATCTTATCACACCCCTCATAGGCATAGCTGGGTGAGTACGCCTGCTTTTCCAAGGGACAAAAAAGCGGAGAACAGAATGTCATACGTGCGTCTAAAGCTCAGAACGGATTCGGGAACAAAGGTTGGAGGGCGTGATTTGGCATCGACACTTGAGTCAAAAGTGGTGGGTACGGGGTGGTTTTACGACGAATCCGACCTAAATGATTGAGGCCGTCGTATTGATCCCGGCGTTGGTTTCCTCGCGTGCTCCCCAAGTACGATTGGTTTGTTTGTGAGGGCAATGGGGATACAGAGGCAGACGGAGGGGAGAAAAGGAAAAATAGAACAAAACCAAAAGAGCAGAGTGGGATGCGGAAAATAGGCAACACAGACGGAAGTGGAATCAAGAAAGAATAGTGAGTAATGGAACGAGGAGGATGGACCAGTAAAATAATTAGAAGGTATAATAAAGTAAAACCACGCCAGACAAACAAGCGATGATAACAATAATCCAAGGAGGTGTGAAAATGTCGAGAGAAGCAGGAGAAGACCCCGGGTTTTATTCCCTAGCGGAACGCAGGGCCCAGGCGGCTTTAGGGGGGCCGATACGTACCTGCCACCTTGGGTGCTTCTGCAAGCTCCAAAAAAAATGATGCACCACAACATGGAATTTCTGCTTTCGGCTTAGCGCAAAATTGCGCGCTGGTGATCCGTGATTGAGCTCCTCCAACGCGAAAACTACTTAACTTACTTCACTCCCCACCATCTTCACCTCCTTCTCTCATCATCTCACATTTCCATCCACAACCCCAGCGAACCAACACGCAAGTCGCACGCCAGCGCCAATCTTCCTAATCTCAAATTTTCCCACCCTTTCACCACACCAAACTCAATCAAAATGACTGGAGGCGGCAAGTCCGGCGGCAAGGCCAGCGGTTCCAAGAACGCGCAATCGTAAGCATTCCAATCCAGGACGCGCTCCGCGCACCGATTTCTTCGCGTTTGTACGCGCTGTTCAAGATGTCTCTAACATATCCTCAGCCGTTCCTCCAAGGCCGGTCTCGCTTTCCCCGTCGGTCGTGTCCACCGCCTTCTCCGCAAGGGCAACTACGCTCAGCGCGTTGGTGCCGGTGCCCCCGTCTACCTCGCTGCTGTCCTCGAGTACCTCGCCGCTGAGATTCTCGAGCTTGCTGGCAACGCTGCCCGCGACAACAAGAAGACCCGTATCATTCCCCGTCACCTTCAGCTCGCCATCCGCAACGATGAGGAGTTGAACAAGCTTTTGGGCCACGTCACCATCGCCCAGGGTGGTGTCTTGCCCAACATCCACCAGAGTAAGTTAGCTCCTGTAGTGCATGTTCTGCACCTTTGTTCTGACACCGTTCACAGACTTGCTGCCCAAGAAGACTGGCAAGACTGGCAAGAACCAGAGCCAAGAACTGTAAATGGGTTTCGTGGGTTTGGGTTTCTTTCGTGCTGGTCGGCTGCTTTGGGTTGTCATGACATCGGGGTCACGGTTCAGGGTTCATGGTTGATTTTCACGTTTGGGTTGTACAATAATACCACGGCAGCGGAAGCTGTGGTTACGAATGAGAATACCTTTTGAAGATCACTTTCTGCTATTGATTGGCTTGTTTTCAAATGTGCAATGATGTCGGACAGCGAATGATTGCCATACGTCCGACTGGGTTGGACACTGGACATTTGTTCGTGTTTTCGCAACCAGACCTTTCGGCGTAGTCCTCAGCCCTGTGATATTCAAACCGCCTCAGGCTCTGAAACCCTACATCTGCGAACGCCGGGGTAACACAGCATGCAATCTGGATTCGATGTCTTGCCAACCCCGAATGTGGATTACGACAGGGTTCTTCGTAAACAAATCTGATAATTTGGCACATAGTGCTGAGTTAGGATACATGCATGCCCATACCGTCGCCGAATGCGAGAATCAATGCCTTCCTTTTTCTGCTTCCGTCGCTCAAAACTTCAATTGGCGCGGGGCTAGAGGACTTGTCAGCGTGTCGTAATGAGGTGATAGTGGACACGCTCGAAACTTACGGTCCAAAATAGGAGCACGGAGGTTACGCTCATACTTCGATCCTGTTGAACCACTATCAGCATCCATTTCTACTAACAATCGTGGAGTCGGGGATGACGAACCGCCGGGTGCCGTGGGATGCACGTACGGCTCTGGGTGCTTCCATCTCGCCAGTAGCTTTTCCGTCTCGGACAGAAGCTCCTTTCACGCAGCGAATTAGCTTCTGTTCCTGGCGACCTGCCGCAACCATTGACATCTGGCAGTTCACCCTGACTAACTCACCCTTTTCTGCCGCGAATCCGTCACGCCGCGGTTTGCTTCGAAGAGAGATCTGATGTACAGGGCCTGGCCCCTCCAAAGATGACGGTGGACTGCCCAATCGAGAGCGAGCTTGAGGGAACGTCGATAAAGCGACCTATGAATGAACATGTCAGCTCAATGACCTCCCATGGAATCTAAGCATTGAGGGGACTCACAAGGCCGCTTGGCGGGTCGACATGTCGGCGGTAGAGGTCGCGTCGTTACGTCGGGAGGAGGGGAAGTTGATGCGTCAGCTGCCACCAGAGTAAACCGGAGCGAATTGGCAGCGTAAGAATTCGGAATGGCGACAAATGGCGCAGAGGTGATAGGATGTCCCAGCCGTGCGGTTAACAGGTATGCGGCGCTCAAGGCTGACTAGAAATGTGGGGTCAGTACTGAACTAAAAACCTTCAGCCTGAGGCAGTAATTAGGTAGAAGCGCAGGGTGTATTTATTGAACGCATATTATAGCAAAGTAGCTGTAATATAAAGACTAGTTAAATTAATTATATAGCTTAAGTATTTAACATTTTATTTATATAGAGTATTTTAATATTTTATTTTAATTTATTTAAGGCTTTAATTATTTAAATTTAGTTAATAATTAACTTAGTTATTTTTAAGCTTAAGAATATAAAAATAAAAATATTTTACCTAGCCTTATTGCTTTTATTAATTAATACTTAAATTATCTAAATTTAGCTCTTTAATTAAAAAACATTTACTTATTAAAGTAATTATCTTAATTACTTTAGTAACTATATATTTTTTTTTTAAGTTAGTTTTACTTATTATAAATTTAACTAATATTTTAACTTCTTTAGAATTAAATATACTTATAAGTAATATCTTTATTACTTTCTTATACTTATTATTATCAGTTTAATTATTATTAAATTTATTATAGCTTCTACTTTAAAGTATTAATAGTATTAATTAAATTATTAGTTATTAATATAAGTATAAGCATATTTAA